ATGCTGGCCAGGGGATTCTGGGAGTTGAAGTCTGCACATCTTACAGTTGCCGAAGTTGAGATATGCTGCTATAGATGATGACAACTTAAAGCAATTGGTGCAAACTAGCACTTTCTGTCCTGAACCTGGAATCCAAACGGTTTAAAAATGTGCCTGCTGAAAACTATGTGTTGAGATGACTATTGCTGGCAAAATTAAGTGGGAAGGATATTTTGACTCAGCCCGTATCAACCCATTTGGACAAGTGGCAATATACTTTTTTCTCTTTAGCCTTATAAAAGTGGCCATCCTGTAAGCTTCTACTTCTCTATAGACTGAGCTAAAAGTTGTCCATTTCCCCAAGGCCACCCATGGCTTCAGAATTTGTCAGTTGTTCTCTGAATCTCAGTCTAGCTGTATTGGTCTGGATCTATCCCTTCCAGTCTGTCTGTCCTCCCCTCAGGTCTACATCCTCGGACACAGCCAGTCGTGGCAGTGAACCTGTGGAGATGCGCCCAGCCAAGAATAAGGCTGCACGACACAAGAGGCTTTCAACGCTGTTCCAGCGAAGTGGAGTGGGAGGGCCCACTGGTGGGGGTGGAGGCCGCTGGGCCAGTGAAAAGAAACTAGCTGATCTCATTGACCCTCTGCCTGAAGACCGAGTCAAACCCCCGTCTCAAGGAGAAGTGCCAGGAGTCTTGAAAATCTATGGAGGAGACATCTCCATGGGCGCCAACTACAAGAGTGTGCTGGCAACCGTGCGCTCCACTGCCCGCCAGCTGGTGCGGGAGGCCCTGGAGCGTTACGGGGTGACACAACCCAATGCTGAGGATGCCTACGTGCTGTGTGATGTTGTTGGCAGTGTTCATGGCATGGATAGCTCCTGGCAGGCCCAGTATCTCCGGGCAGTTGGTGATGCTGAACGGCCACTTGTGCTGCAGGACGTATGGAAGCCCAAGACTGGTTGCACTCGCCGCTTTGAGATCCGCCGCCGATGTGATGTAGAAAGGATGGTAGAGGGGGAGGATGAAGATGGAGGCGGTGAGTGCTGGTCAGGGTTTCTACTCCACAGGCTCACGAGCTTTCCAGATTTTTCATACATTTCCCTTTGTTTTCTGAAGGAATTCACATTTCTGGGCCTTTTGCTTGTGTGGAATTTATTTATATTCTTGATTTATATCCCACCTTCTACCCATGGCAGCAACCAAAATTAAAAACCAAAACAGAATATATAAAGCTAGATAGCAAATTAAAATTAACCCTACATTTTTATAGCTAATTAAAAAAAGTATTTTTTTGCCCAGTACATCATTAATTTGTGGAATTCATGGCCACAGGATCTGGTACGATTTGGTATATGCCTGGCAATCTACACCTACTAACTATCAGCCATTAATTAGCCAAGAATGCTGAAAATGGAATTTCACTCAGTATATTTCTGAGTCCCAGATGCTGGTGGGGTTGGGATGGTAGGACGTATCTGCCCCATCTTGCTTTGTTGAAGGTCTTCTCTGGACCATCTGGCTGGCTATCATTAGCTGCTAAAGCTACTGCTCTTGTAATGAAGAAAAGAGTCTCCCAGAGCTGTTATTTACAACCCCATAGGATGTAATGTTTTTCAATGGCCCTTGGTTTCACTCAGTGCTGTGCCCCTGCAGTCTTCTTTCTTCTCAAACGTTGGCACAGCAACTGCTCCAAGTTCTACGTGTAGCCACAGCTGATAAACCTAAACTGTAGCTCTCTGAGATGTCCAAACTACAGAGCCCAAGGCTAACGGGTTCTCTCTTTTCCCTTATTCCTCACATGCAAATGGAGCAAAACTCCCTTCTGTGGCTTCATTTATCCACAAAAAAGGGTGGGAAGATAGCAGTAAGGAAACTCCTTGAATGGAAAATAGTTCTCTATTCTCTATATCAGTGTTTCTCAACCTTGGCAGCTTGAAGACATGTCGACTTCAACTCCAGACAGCCTTGCTGGAATTCTGGGAGTTGAAGTCCACTCATCTTAAAATGGCCAAGTTTAGACAACACTGCCATAGGTGATTGGGGAGGTTGTAGCACAAAACCCCTGCACGGCTTCTCCTGGTTTTAAGTCTTCCTCTCTCCACCTCTTGTAGGTATCAACTCTCAGTCCCGCCGGCAACAATCCCGCCGCTCTCGGGCTGCTTCTGGGGGCCACGTGGGCCCCAAAGAGAGAGCAGACAACCTCTCACTCCGACGCAGTATCAGTGAGATGAATCTGAGCACTAAACGCCGCAGGGACCGCAAAGGGGTCCTCAGCATGGCAGTCGGTGAACCGGCCGAAGGGGGTGCAACTGATGAATCACGGCTCAAGGCCGCCGAAGGGGCTGAGGGCACCTCGGCTCCTTCCGCCTCTGAAGAGGAGGCTGCGGATGTGGCCAGCCTCGAGCAGCTTACGCAATGCCTCATCCAGCCCCCAACCGAACACCCCTATTTTCTGCAGTTACTGGGTTATAATGAAAAGCAGGTAAATTCACCTTCGGTGGGTGGGGTTCATTCAGCTTTTCATAGAACCCCAGAGGTAGAAAGGGCCAGGACAGCTTTCATCCAATGGATGTCCTCTGGAAATGCTGAACTTCAGCTCTCATCATCTTCAGACGTGCAGATTGGGGATTATGAGATTTGAAGTCTAACACATCCAGAGGATACCAGCTAAGGAAAAGATGGACTAGAAATTCCGACTTAGCAACTACATCTGACGTCTTTGTTAACACACACACTTACACATATCAGCATTAGAGGGGCTTAGAAGCACCTCTTCCCATACCACGGAGAAAGAAAATTCATACATACACACCCATTCACACAGACACAGACACACACACACACACACACACAGAACTTTCTGGCCAAGCTTCCAACTGGTGTAGCCATGCTAAGAGAGAGAGAGAGAGAAAGAGAGAGAGAGTTCAGGTCTTGAGACAGCAGGAAGGAAAGAACTAAGTTTAGATTGCCAGTAAGAATTCATCTTTTTAATTTTTTTCCATTATCTAAAAAGCTTTCTGTATATAACAGCCTAGTCAGCACATCACAGAATAATTTTTCATGTGGCTCATTCCTGAATCCCGAAGTGCTCATGTTTTCATCTACTTTCTGTTGTTTTTAATATCAGGAAGCATTCTAAAATGATATCCCTTCCCTTGAAACCTGAAAGTTCAGAATTTAATCATTTCAAACTGCCATGTATAGATGTTACATAGCCCAGGTTCAGGGTGACAAGATTGTTGAAGTGGAATGGAGAGCAAACCATTCCATAAGTCCCTCAAGACCTGGCTACGTGATCAGGCCTGGGGTGAGTCCACAGGGGACCGGGGATGGGCAGCTATATAAATATGATAGATAGATAGATAGATAGATAGATAGATAGATAGATAGATAGATAGATAGATAGATAGATAGATAG